TGTTTGCAATCATTGGTCACAACAAGTAATCATTGAGTGAATCCATCGCACGATTGGTGGCAGTGATGGCCGACGCGGACGACACGACAACAGCTGACAGTCAGACGAAGGCCTTCGACATCGAAGTGGTCTGCGAATCGCTCCAGAAGTGCATCGACGACAAGAACGCCATCGATTTGGACCACTATTTGCGAGCATTCAATGAGCTGCTGAGGTCTGGCCGCCACCACCACCAATGACTACCTCCTAACCCATTGACACGAATCGTTGTCTCCATTGATTGACAGGTTCTTCAACCTCTTGGGCGCAGTGTTTGTGTTTGTGGCGAAAGACGTGAAGGAGAAGATCGCTATTCTGGAGCAGTACTCGAAGGAGTTCTCGACGGATGTCCACTACAAGACACTGCAGCAGATGATTGAGTACGAGTCGACCCACAATCTGCTACGCGTGGACCTGTCGAAGAGGCCGTCGGGGGCGCGCACTCTCCTGCGCCTCCACAGAGCCCTCGAGTTTGTGTCGCACTTCATGCTGGAAGTGAGTCGTCTGGAGGACAGTAAGGGAACGGCAGACGTGGCCCGCGATTGCTATAAGAAGACGTTAGCGAAGTACCACCCGTGGGTCATACGCAAGAGTGCCTCATTAGCCATGTATACACTGCCGTATAGGCGCCAACTGGTCGAGCGGGCCTACAGCGGGTCAGTGCCCTCCGAGCAGACCCCCATCGCCGTCAGCGACAGTATGAGTCGGTTGGCTCTCGTGGCCGAAGAGGTCTTCAACGCCACCCACAAACTCTATGACGAACACAATTTGCTTGATTTGCCTTAACCTCACCACCTGTTAGCTTAGCTAACGGTTCCAGATAAGCACCGGTAGGTCTCTAGTGTTATCAGTCTGTTAAGCATTAATCATTACTAGTAAACCCTATGCTCTCATTTGTACTCTTAATCCTTTGATTTTATTTCAATTGGGGATCAAAATTGATTTGTTATTTTTCGTTATAATCACATTTGGGTTTAATTTATTGTTTAAATGTTTATTAGTTATACGAAAACAGTTTAAAAACATGTTTAATGTTAGTCTTTGTTTAACAAATTGATAACACAGAGAGACTTGGAGGTCTGACTCAAAAGCGAACTAACTTTAAGATTAGATAAATTATAATTATTTTCAATTTATTGATAAAATCACTGAATTTTTAACTGACTTTCATGTGTCTTCTGAAAGATAATGAATACTTTTTTGAGTGATTTTGTCTCTCATATAAGTATTATTAGGATTACAATTCAATTTTTCGTTCATTTCTCTCACTTTTATTGTTTTATTATTTTATTCGTTTGTTATTTAATTATACAAAAAAGAGAAAAGAAATTGTTTTATACTATTATTTATACGTAAGAGTAATGAAAACTTTTTGGGAACTTTTTGCAAATTATTATAATTCCAGTTTTGTCCGAAAGACACTACAATTTTATTGTTACGACATTACCACAAGTGTTGATATATTTATACTTTTTTCTTATAACTTTGTTTATCATAAGAATTAATTTAAATTTTATTTGTATGAAATAACTAATATTTATAGTTTAAAAATAATTGACAATATGTATAGAAAACATTGAAATTGAAAGAGTTATTACACAAATTGACACAATTTGCTCACATAAGAGAACAAATTCTATATGAAAAACATAAGAGACAACAGATGTTCAAAAGATGTTATTAATTACCATTAAATTTATACCAA